CTGGTAGGTTTAGGTCATAGATAAAATTGTCTAAGCCAGTATTCTTAAGATTATATGTAGCCATATAAAGCAAAAATCTAACATCTAATAAAGATACGAGGCAAGACCTCACCTTAACACCGAAAAAAAAAAAAAAAATTTAAATCTATATGCACTGCGCCTACTGTGCAGATCTAATTTATATCACTAGTACCCCTTTGATTTATACCAGATATGTTACCAGATTTATTACCTGTATATTTGCTAAAAGATTTGGTATACTACTAAACAGAAATTTATAAACATGACATAAACAAATCGGTTTATAATATAACTTTGCACAAGACCTCGCATAGTATACCTTTGCTATACAGTATACCTGGGGCATAAATCAAAAACCGGTATAGATTGTGAGAGGCCCCATAGCGATACTTCTTTAGCTAAGGCACGTAATATTAAATTACAATTTTATTGGTCAATTTATTAAGATATATCATATGACAGTTTTTAGTTTGGTGTAATGTCTATATGTAGATCACAAATGCTGGCCAATTAAAACCAATTTTCATTATGCTGTTAGAAGTTTACTAAAATATATAATAAATCTTTAAGAAAATTTTTTGTTAAACACAGGTTTTTAGTTAGGCTATACCAAGCTAATTTTTAGTTTAACATAACCTCTCTTCTAATTTTTCAAATTTATATATAATATAATACATGTTATTAACCAATCAAATTGCAGTATTAGTTTTTTAACTTTTTAAAATTTTTTATAGCCAATAGAATTGCAGTGTTTTTTTTTTGTTTTTTTTTTATCCCCCCCTTCATAAAATATTTATGATATGTTAAACTAAAAATCTGCTTGAAGTGGCCTTATAGTAAAATTTTTTAATCCAGTGATCAATAATAGATTTAGAAGTGATCATTAAATTATTTTCGTTAAAATCTTCCAGTGTTCGGTTTAGTCTTTAACGATCATTGATTATCATTTCATCAACTAGTAAAAAATTCGACAGAAAAAAAATAAAAATTGTTGAATATTAAGAAAGTAAATTAATAAACCCGGAGAAGAAAATTCAAAACCACGTTTCAAAGGCAAATAACATATAAGATTGGTCTTGCGTTCTCTTTAAATTTTTCTTACATCGTAAGTATGAGCATGATTATGATCATGATCATAATATACAACGCAACCATTTTCGTAAAACCTTGAGTTTCCTGTTTTTGTAACTAAATTACAAAAACAAAATACAAGTTTGGTGCTAAAACTATCCAAAATGATGCGTTCCTTTGGGGTGTTAAAAAAAATAACTATATATTATGTATTTAATAAATATATAAAAATACTTTTCTATATAAGCCCATTCTATGTCTTCTATATGAGTGCCACCAAGAGAAAACCTGAATCCGAAAAGTATAGGTTAATATCATCATGATGAATTACTAATGATTTTAAAACCTGTACTTTCCAGATTCAGGTTTTTTCTTGGCAATACTCATATAAGAACACTTTTTATGGGTCACAATAGTGTAGTTATATGGAAATACAACTGTATGATTAAATGCAATCTAACAGCTTTAATCACAGATCAATCATAAGAAATTTGCCTATAAGGGTGGTATAAAGAATAGATTTTTTAAGAGTGGTATGATTGTGCAGGTATTTTATCTAATTATTAATACTTAGTATTATAGATCTGTACCTTAGCTTAAACATGTTGTTCATTAGCTTTTTGTTTTTAACTATAGAAATCTATATATATGTAATATATAATATTTGAACAAACAAAAAACAACTAGGAATTTAAATTATTATAAGCATAGGTCATGTTTGATTTGATTGGTTAAAAAAATGATCGATATTTATATAGACTAATTGTAATTTTATAATACTCGCATTAAGTAAATCGATTCTATATTAGAAAAAAAATTTTTTCACTAAAAAAAAATCACAACTAAAATTAAAGATCTATAGTTCATAAGTTACTTCATCATTATTTACAAAACATCCAAATACATCCGGTAGGTTACGAATTTAGATAAGAGGCCAAGATTTGTTGTTTAACACTTAACAGTACCATACTAGTAGTAGTTTGTTGAGCTTCTACTATGTATATATCTTTATATTGGTAATTTTGTTACATTTCAAGAAAATTAGAAGACTCATACGCAACTTATTAACTAGACGAAAAGGTAAAGAATTATTGTAACCAATTATTTTTATTCTTAAGCAAAATTTTGGTTAAGCTTTTAATCACCAAGTACTAACGCGATTAATCTTATTTAAAAAGGTCATGTGTAAATTTTGAATTTTATCTAATTCTATTTCTTCAGCTGTATCATTTTTTTCTGCTATTGTTTCACTAGCATCGATTTCTTCTACTTCCTTAGTAGTAAGACTATTTGGTCCTTTTTCTAGCCTCTTCACAAAGGATTTAACATTAGTATAGATTCTACATTTGTAATATTCCTCGCAGTGATGACAACAAAATTTGGTTGTTTGATAACACCCAAAATGGTATCCATACCTACATATTAGTACTTCACTAGCTCCGAGATTTTGGTAACAATAATCACAAATATCTGGTTTTGGAGATATATTAGTACTATATCTAGTTGGAAAACACTTTGGATCAATAGTTATTTCTAAGGTAGCTAATTTATACTGATCTTTTATGTATAGCTTACTTATTCTACGATTGTTGAAAATTTTATGAAAATGTTTTAGCAAAAACAAAGCAGTTTTTTTCATGAGAAAATCTAATACCGATGGCTTATAAGGGTATTGCCGTGTCCTTCAAACACTTCTTTAATTTTACAATGAGCTCGCGCATCTAATAAATTAATATTAATAAAAAATTGATAATTTAGCTGCCTTCAATAGAAATCAAGCAGATTTATATTATAAATCTACTTGATTTTTATTGAAGGCAGCCTTTTTTTAAAAAAAAAATTGGTTACACAATTTGTATTAAATTACCATGAACGTAGGTTTGTTTGATAATATTATCAACACTACTTTTGTTGCAAAGGTATGTGATCATATTTTGCTATACATATTTTCAACATAGTAATCGTTGAAATGTACTAAAAATAGTTTTATAGCCTCAGCAAAAGGATGGTTAGTATCTTGCTAGTAGAAGATATCTGATAAGAATACTAACAGTGCTTTGTTATAATTGCGCTGTTTTAAAAGCGAATGTCCAAATCCAGAAAACAGTTTCTACATATTCATCGAATGAGCTGGATTAGAAAAGGGTGGCATAAATATCTAATGTTGCTGGAATGATATTGTCTAATAAATCAATCACTATACAGTATTCAATATCTTTGCAGCACCCAAATTTGGTTATAATTATATTTCGGATTTTACACCACCTATTGTAAACAAGATCGAGAAGTAAGTTAATTCTCCATGGTCTTGGCTTTTTGGCAAGTTTTTTCTTTTCACCAAATACTGAATAGAACATTTTTTCAAAGAACGGATAGTATGTTATTAACACTTGTTCTCTACTATTTAGAAAGATATGGAGAGGCCCGATAATTGGGATAAAAAATTGATCTCAGGTGGTATAGGATATTATGAATTCGCTTTTTGAAAATTTGTTATTTCTTTGCAAATAAACAACTGCCCAGGCCAATCTGCTACAATTGGAATGATCCTACTAGATAAGTTCTGAATATCATTATTAATATCTAAAATCATCTGAAGTGCTGTTATATAATCATTTATAGAATGCAGATTGCCTTCTTTAATGCCAATTAATCATACACCCTCCATTGACTGTTCTTTTTTTTTCTCCACAATTTCATCATTATAGGTATGAACCGTAAGTAAATCAGTCTGATCAAAATTATCGAAACAAGATTTTTTATGGGTAAGCCACTGATTCTTACGATTTGTATAAGAGATGTCAAATATTTCATAGTATTGATGAATCAATCGAAAACAGATAGTACTTGCATCAATATTAAGTGGGTTATGAATCGATATATGATTGAAAACCAGAGGAATTGGTGCGCAAGCTGAAACTTGCTTGCAAACGCAAGTAGCCATATGTTTCCCG